TGACTTGTGTATAGCATCTGTCATGTAGGAGAATACATATGACTAGCTGAAGCAGTTTCATCTTCTGGGAAAATTCCATGGTTGTATCAAGGTTCCTCTGTATTAGCGGGGTTTTTTAGCCACATCCCCCCCCACCACCACCAATTTAATAATATAAAACGAATGTTTACTGAAACTTCCATTAGGTGTTTTGCTAATTTTCATTATTTTGTCAGTTTTATATAGTAAAAACTTTTACACATAAAACACATATATACATATGTTTATGTACATACATATTCTTACATGATTATTTTAACACAGCACAGTGGCTTCTTCTGAAAAGTTCTTTAATTTTATGAAGGTTGTGGAAATAGCAAGATGGAAATCTCTATTTCAAGGAATAGTCTTCTTGTAAACTGAATCCACATTTTTCTCAGGGTATGTGAAGTCGCTCAGTCGTGTCCGACTTTGCAAACCCATGGACTATAGCCTACCAAGGCTCCTCTGTCCACAGAGTTTTCCAGGCAAGAATACTAGAGTGGGTTGCCATTTCCTTTCTCATAGCTAAAGCAGTACTTGTGACCATCTTGCCTCTCCATTTGGAAGATTTTTTTTCCCCTCCCATATCTAGAGAGAATATATGTTCCTTAATACAAAGTTTTTTGACTACAAATTTCCTTAATACAAAGTGGTATCATATCCATACCTCTGAAATGCAAATGATACCACTCTAATGGCAGAAAGTGAAGAGGAACTAAAGAGCCTCTGGATGAGGGTGAAACAGAAGGGCTAAAGAGTCAACTGTTCGCATCAGGTGGCCAAAGCATTGGAGTTTCAGCTTCAGCATCAGTCCTTCCAATGAATATTCAGGACTGATTTCCATTAGGATGGATTGGTTGTATCTCCTTGAAGTCCAAGGGACTCTCAAGAGTCTTCTCCAACACCACAGTTCAAAAGCATCAATTCTTCAGTGCTCAGCTTTCTTTATAATTCAACTCTCACATTCATACATGACTATGGAAAAACCATAACTTTGACTAGACAGACCTTTGCTGGCAAAGTAATGTCTCTGTTTTTTAATATGCTGTCTAGGTTGGTCTTGATAAAGTAACATATGTAGACTTGATAAAGTAACATATTTCTCAACTCAAACATGTAAAGCAATGATATCATAATTTATCCTTGAAAATATTGGGATCAGGGCCCAATAACAGAGACAAAAAGACATGAAAAAGATGGAAGAGTGAGTATCTTCAGAGACCAGTTGGATACTTAAGGAAAAGAGATAACTTGTAGGGTTCTGTCATGAGTGAGTAAGCAGATTTCAATGTCCATTCACCACCAGAGTACAGGAGAATGCAAAATAGCCTAATTGATATAATTTGCACTAACATTATAGGCTTCATTATTGAGTTTATGAAGTTCAGGAGAGGCCCAAGTAGTGGAGTCTTGATCAGCTAGGAAACAGTGATCCAGAATTCTATCTAAAACTAAGATCAGTGCTAGTGAGTGAAAGTCACTCAGTCATGTCCAACTCTTTGTGACCCCATGGACTATACAGTCCATGGAATTCTCCAGGCCAGAATACTGGAGTGGGTAGCCTTTCCCTTCTTCAGGGGATCTTCCCAACCTAGGGATTGAACCCAGGTCTCCTACATTGCAGAAGGATTCTTTACCTGCTGAGCCACAAGGAACGACCAAGAATACTGGTGTGAGTAGCCTATCCCTTCTCCACTAGGTCAGTACTAGGGATAATTATAAATTAACTAAATCTTATGCTGTGGCCCTTGCTCCACCGTCTCAAACTTAACATGCATCCTTGCTCCATTTGATCAATCATGTCTGACTCTTTGCTACCCCATGGACTGTAGTCCACTAGGCTTCTCTGACCATGGAATTTCTCAGGCAAGAATACTGGAGTGGGTGGCCATTTCCTCTCCAGGGGATCTTTCTGACCCAGGGATCAAACCGGCATCTCTTGTGTCTCCTTCATTGGCAGGTGGATTCTTTACCACTAGCATCATTGACATCTTTGTTCACTTCTCATCTGGAGTAAGTGGTTCTCTAGGTTTTGTATTATAACCAAAGTAACTATGCCAAAATAAAGTCAAATAATCTTTCTTTCCTTCTTAAAAACTTTCATTAGTTTCCTACTGCCCATAAGAAAAAGTATAACCTCCTTAGCTTGGTATGGAAGGCCTGGTATGATGTGGCCAATGGCTTGCTCTCCCAACTCTTCTATAGCTGCCCACTCTGGCCTTGTGCCCTGATCAGACAGCAGCACTGGCGCTGATCCACTAAGAATAGTAAGCTGTTTTATAAATCCGTACCTCTGCATATGCTAATTCCTCCTGCATAGGGTGTTATATCCACCTTCTAGCTTATTTCCTTTCTTTTGCCCTTATAGCTGGTAGTTCCCATCATCCTTCAAAAAGAAATATTCTCCATGATAAACTTTGCCAGTGGCAATCCTTCATCTGTTATCACTAGACTTTACATTTCTAGCATGACAATTAATGACCTTATTTTAATTATTTACATATTTGCCTCTCTTATTAGAGCATGGAATTTCAGCTAGCTCATATAGTTTTTTTTTGGAAATAAGTCAAATGATGCAATAATCCATTCCTTTCTACCAAAATGCATCTCTTTCTACTTATCAACTAATAAAAGGAATCTCTTTAGACTTGCCCAAGGCCAAATACCTCTTTCTCAGATATTAGGATAAATTTCAAAGCACCATCATATTACATACACTACACTTATGAGAAGATACTCTAAATGTCAAGCACATACAAAGAAAGAGAACAGGATAATGAATACATTACCCATTTCAACAATTATTAGCTAATGGTCAATCTTATTCTACCTGTGATGTCCATAGTTCCACTCTCCTTTTTTCCTTCCAAATATTTAGAAGCAAATTTTAACTGTAGTAACTTTTCATTCACAAATATTAACTGTATGTATTTCTAGAATCTAAGAACACTTTGAAAATATACTGATAATACCATTATCATACCTAAAATATTGTTTGTTAATATTAACAAGTCCTTAATTAGTATTCAATTTTATACTACTTCTCATTTTTAAAGTTGTTTGAATATACCTCTGCATATGCTAATTCCTCCTGCATAGGGTGTTATATCCACCTTCTAGCTTATTTCCTTTCTTTTGCCCTTATAGCTGGTAGTTCCCATCATCCTTCAAAAAGAAATATTCTCCATGATAAACTTTGCCAGTGGCAATCCTTCATCTGTTATCACTAGACTTTATATTTCTAGCATGACAATTAATGACCTTATTTTAATTATTTACATATTTGCCTCTCTTATTAGAGCATGGAATTTCAGCTAGCTCAGATAGTATTTTTTTGGAAATAAGTCAAATGATGCAATAATCTATTCCTTTCTACCAAAATGCATCTCTTTCTACTTATCAACTAATAAAAGGAATCTCTTTAGACTTGCCCAAGGCCAAATACCTCTTTCTCAGATATTAGGATAAATTTCAAAGCACCATCATATTACATACACTACACTTATGAGAAGATACTCTAAATGTCAAGCACATACAAAGAAAGAGAACAGGATAATGAATACATTACCCATTTCAACAATTATTAGCTAATGGTCAATCTTATTCTACCTGTGATGTCCATAGTTCCACTCTCCTTTTTTCCTTCCAAATATTTAGAAGCAAATTTTAACTGTAGTAACTTTTCATTCACAAATATTAACTGTATGTATTTCTAGAATCTAAGAACACTTTGAAAATATACTGATAATACCATTATCATACCTAAAATATTGTTTGTTAATATTAACAAGTCCTTAATTAGTATTCAATTTTATACTACTTCTCATTTTTAAAGTTGTTTGAATAAAGACCTAGAAAATCTGTACTTTACATATTTACATGGGTTGATGTTTCTTGTAATCTAAAGCAGCAGCTTTCAACTGGGGGCAATTTTGCCTTGTAAGGGACAATTTTGGCAGTCTGGAGACATTTTTGGTTTGTACAACAGCTATGAACTGAATGTTTGTGTCTTCCCAGTATAAAGACATGCATTAAAATCGTAACCTCAATGGGGCTATATTTTGGCGAACCTAATTCAGTTGAGGTTCGGTTATACAGGTGGGGCCCTCACTATGGGATTAAAGCCCTTACAGAAAGAAGAGAAGACATGGGATCCCTCTGTCTGCGTGCAATAGGCCATGGAAGAATGTAACTAGGAAGAGGCCCCTCACCGACAATCTGTTTATACTGGCACGCCGATCTTGGGATTAGCTTTCAGAACTGTGAAAAATAAATGCTTATTGTTTAAGCCACCCAGTCGACAGTATTCTGGTACAGTAGTTCAAACTAACTGGGACAACCACAGGAGGGTTGTTACTGGTACCCAGTGGGTAGAGGTCAGGGATAGTGCTAAATATCCTTCAATGCACAGGACTGCTGCCACAATAAAGAACTATCTACCTCAGCCCCCACCCCCAACAAATGTCAATAGTGAAAGGCTGAGAAACCCTGGTCTAGCAGTTCCTCTGTCATCCATTTCTTGTTATAATTTGGTCATTGAATAAACTGGGCCATTTGTCCTATAGAATTTCTCACAGTATTTTGCTAATAACACACTGCAGTATTATTTTTATATTTTCTGTCCCTTGTGTTTATGAGCAATTAGATTTAGAAGCTTCATCAGATTCAGTGGGTTTTTTTGTTTTTCTTTTTTAGCAAAAATACTTTATTTCATTGATAGTATTGTGTACTTCCATCAGGAGGCACATACTGTCTAGTTCTATATCTCTCATCACTAGAGGGAACTTTTGATGATCAGTGTCTAAATCCATTCATTCAATAGTGGCCTCAAAATGATAATATTGTATTTTCATAATTATTTCATTTATTTAAAGCATCACTGTTTCTTGAAAATATTTTTACAATGTTTGATACAAAAATAGCATGGTGCCTAAAACATTTATTCATTCTGTGTTTTTTATTTTTTTTATTTTTTTCAGAAATATCCTATACCACCTTGATGGGAAGACAAGCCAGTTTTCAATACTCCTGGAGGCTTGGGAGCACTGCAAGTCACTTGCATCAAATGAGACCCTTCAAGAAGCCCTGTCAGAGGTGTTGAATAGCATTAATGCAGCTCAGGTTTACTTCAAAGCGGGACTTGATGTGTTCGAGAGTGTCTTAGTTGGAAAGAACTGAGAAAACTCTCAGCATTTTAAAAAGTTTGTTTACAATTCCTCAAGAAAAAGCTCTAATCTCACCAGATTTTCTGACATGGAAGACTTTTCCCCCTCAATGGCTTTTTATATAAGTATAAAGCTATTCTTCCTTTGTATTTTTTGATGTACATGTAAAAAGAGCATTTTGCACATTTAATATTTTTCTTATATCTAGATTTCTGATTATGTAAAAGCAAGTTATTGAAAATAATACTTAAGATTTATCTATTAAAAAGAAATCTGCTGTATTTTTCTATATATATATATAAAATATTTGGGGAAAAAATTTCAAAGACGTTCTGGACAGTCTTTGTTCCTATGGATAAAACATGTAGGAATAGAAATGATTACCTGTGTTAGAGCTTTAATGACCTAGCTTCTGTAATAGAAATGGACAGCGGATATGGTTTCAGATTAACTTTTACTATCAAATATTCAGTATGAACAACAAGTATTCTGACTGAGTGATTGGTTGACGAAAACCACTTTGAATGTGTCTATTTTATGAAATGAAGTGCCTGTTTATAACACAACTAGATGTAGTAATACACTGGTTATGAAAATGTATTTTTTTAAGTATTAATTAAAAAAAATAAAAGAGCCATAAACATTCCAGGGGAAAATCGCAAGTTAGCTGCACAGAGCAATTTAATTGTAAATTTTTTTCCTAACCACTTATAAGGTGACTAGCTTTGAAACCCCTAATTTGTCTCAGTTGATTTTGTAAAAATTTCAGGAGTGATATATGTCTTATGAGGGAGAAAATATGTATTTCTTCCTGTGTTGTTTCTGTTGGAAGCACTGAAATAGAGCTACTTTAAAATGAAAGCATCTCACTTTGCTCCTCATTCATGTATCTTTTCTGAAACTCCTTTCTGAAAGGCAGTTTTCTCAGAATACCATATAATTTCCACAGGAAAGTAGCAAAGTTTCTCTTTGAAAACCCAAAATATCTTAAAAGGTATCAAATTGCTATTTCTGCCACTAGCAAAAAGGACTTCTGATGAATGAAATAGTTGTTTTGATCAACAAAAAAGCTTCTTAATTCTATGAAAAAACTTTTTTTTTCCTTCTCTATCCTTACTTGTGATTGAGATGACAACACATAATATATTCATGCTTCTACTTTTAGGCAGAAAATACTGTATTACTTTAAGAGTGTATCTTTCCCATGCTTCAGTTCCTCTCTCATGTTGAAAATGAAGCTTTTCATACTAAGGCCACTGAAAGGTCACTGAATGGCCTTAGTATCCACTATTCCCCCAAACCACAGAATCCCATTAAGTGTTTAAACTCTGAGCTTACCTTTAGAAATTGATTTAGTATTGGATAAAGCAATTTCTCTTAGGAAGCATATCTTCAGAATATTTCATGTGGATTATTTTTCTCTAACACAACATTCGAACACATGTCCCTATCACACACCAAAATATCTTAAAAGGTATCAAATTGCTATTTCTGCCACTAGCAAAAAGGACTTCTGATGAATGAAATAGTTGTTTTGATCAACAAAAAAGCTCCTTAATTCTATGAAAAAACTTTTTTTTTTTCTTCTCTATCCTTACTTGTGATTGAGATGAGACAGCACATAATATATTCATGCTTCTACTTTTAGGCAGAAAATATTGTATTATTTTAAGAGTGTATCTTTCCCATGCTTCAGTTCCTCTCTCATGTTGAAAATGAAGCTTTTCATACTAAGGCCACTGAAAGGCCACTGAATGGCCTTAGTATCCACTATTCCCCCAAACCACAGAATCCCATTAAGTGTTTAAACTCTGAGCTTACCTTTAGAAATTGATTTAGTATTTGATAAAGCAATTTCTCTTAGGAAGCATATCTTCAGAATATTTCATGTGGATTATTTTTCTCTAACACAACATTCGAACACATGTCCCTATCACACACCTCCAAAGCAACTTCACAAATAGTGCCTATAGCTCTAAATCTTTTATGTATATGAATGAACATACACCTAACCTTAGTTTAAAGGAAAACTGAAGTTAAAGGGAAAGAATTGTCAGCATTGATTAACTGATTTATAAGGGTCAGCTGTTCTTACTATAAGTAATGTTTATGCCCTCAAGACAAAGAAGAGAATTGAAGCAATTAGCTAGATAATTCAAGCAGAAACTCAGTTTCAATGAATTGCTTGTGTGCACATATTTTACATAAGAAAGGAAACTGCCTTACAATATATATTTCTAACCAATGCACGTGTTTGTCTGAAAGTATTTGCCATGTTGAAAAGTGGCTCCAGCAAGGGGCTAAAGAACCAAACTCCCACATGCCTTGGTGTCAGTACACTCTCCTTCCACGGAAAAAGAGGAGAAAAGAGGCAAAAGCAATACACATACAGATTTGGGTCAGGTCAAATAATAGAATCCCTGGACCAAAGGATCAGAAATAGTGAATTAAGTTTCAGTGTGTTTGTTTTAAGTCTTCCTTTGGAGCTGGGTTTAAAACAGACAAAGACAAATAATTATCGATTTGGTAGTTTATCACTTTAGAACAAAATCCTAAGTAAATTCATTCCTTTAGACTCCAATAGAGTTGAGAACATGAATATTTGTGTTTGCACATTTTTGTTGAAACATTGTGTATTTAGCTAACCCACACTGCACAGATCAAAGTCTCAATATTCTGTACTTATTACTTCTAAATCATATGATATTTGATACCCAGAAACTGAAGTTAATTATGGACAAACATTTTTTTTTAGCCTATTTAAGAGATGATGTTAAGAAACTAAATTATAATTGAAACTCATCCACCAATTCTGTAAATGCTGCTCATCTTTGACTGAAATGAACCTCTTAACTAGGAACATTACTACTATAGTCTGATTACCTCAGGGTTCCTTGAAATTTATGTCATTTAAATTTTCCCCTAACAACCCAAGTAAATAAAATCCTATGCAAGTTATTAATAAGAATTTTCAATGAATTGGTAGTTAGGTTAAATCGCTGCTAAAATATCTGGGTGCCTGGTACTTCTTACCACCCTTCATACATAGCATTGTGCCAATCCATAATGAATCATAAATGATTATTCCCCCAAGAAAAGGTGGCAGATGTGGACCACTGCAATTTGGGTTCAGGCAGGGTATACCTGGAATACCGCTTTTTGTAAAAAAGTACAGATTCCAGAGTCAAAAGAAAAGCCTAAGACACTCTGATTAAAGTCTGAGAATATTACCTTCAGTTAGGGAAAGCATCAGCACCCCCATCAGACACAGTAACTGCAGACAAAGTGGTCAAGGAATTGGGGCAGAGTCACAGTTTTAGTTAGTAGCAGAAGGGCTGCTAAAATTTAAGCTTGTTTGTTGTCTCATATAATAGAGTTCTAAATGATCTTTTCCATTATATTCTAGGTAACTAGTCATTATATCAGATGCTGGATGGGCTGGAAGCACTGCTTTTTCAATTAGGGACCAGCTCATTCTCTCAATGTACCTAATGAGTAGAACTGTCCCAGGGAGTTCATGCAAAGGGCACAAGCCTGTGTACTTGTGGGGAGGTAGAGAGAGTCTCTACATGATACCAGTGCTCAGGAAGAAGGGTATTAAGCAAAATACTTTTATAAGAGAAAATTTTCCCCTACATTAAATTGGCAGTTTAAATCTGTATTTCTCAAAATGTGGTTTTTGGGAAAGGGAGCCGAGGAATCTATATTTTTAGCAAGATTTCCCAAATGATCCTTATGCTTAGTGATTTCTCATCTACATCAATAATCCTGGGTCCTCCTGAGAAAACATCATGTGGCAACACACTAAAAAAATTGAAGGGTCACAATAATAGGAGATACCTCTAGCTTGCTAATAATGGCATTTTAAAGAAAGAGAGAGTAAGCATTGTATTTCTCAAAAAAGGCCCGAAATGAAGCTAAGTCTGTGCCTGCTACAAGTCAGGCACATTTCTCAATTTAATGTACTTTTTTTTCCAAATGAACCCCCAAGCCAAACTAATTTAAAAGAAGAAGAAAATTAAGTGAAGGAACGCCCAAAAGTCCAAAACCAAAAAAAAAGAATGAAAAAAGGGGCCCCGCCGGGCCCAACGGGGTCCAAAACCGGGGTCCTCAAGCCGGGTGTCACAGAAAGTTAAGAATCAGTTACAGAAAGTGACATTATTGAAATTTTTAACGTATTACTGCACAACTGATCAGACTATGTCACCTGCCACTTCACTGGTTGAACTAAGGAGTCTGAAGAAACCAACAACATTATTCCTTATGATGGTAGCCCACCCCAACAATGGTGGACATATGTAGCTAAATTAGAAGATAAGTAAATAAGAGCACAAAAATAAGTCTACCATTGTAGAATATCATGACAACTAGATGACGGGGGAAGACCAAATGCTGGGACTTACAACCTCAGTTTTATATCATACTTAAATCTCAGAATAACTAATTGACTTTTTAAATTACATGTATTTTAAATTACATGTACTTTTTAAATGTATAGCATACAATAGGTTTCTCCATTACAAAGATAGGTGTTACAAAAATAAAATGATTTGTTACCATCAGCATCTTTTGTTACAATCAGCATCTTTGCCTGAAATGAAAAACTATTTTCGTAATTGGTAGACCTCGCCAAAACTGTCCTCATGAGACATTCTGTGGTATGTGTGATTAATTACTCCAAAAACTATAAACTTTTTCATGGATATTGCATTGTCATCTGGTTTAAAGGACGATTTAAATGTGTCTTAACTACAAGTTCCCTCGATAGAATTATATTTTAAACTGCCAATCCATGTGTTGAGTGGAAGGCAAATGGGTCTATACACCCCAAAAGATAGATCAGCAACCTAACAGTTCCATTATAGGAGCATGGATGCAACACAGGAGAAAAAATAGACATGTGATATTTGAGCAAAGAAATATTCTGCCTAGGTGCACTAGTAAATTTGTATTTCTTGCTTGAGTTTATATTGCTAGCTTAAAAAAGACTCATTAGAATTGCTTTAGAAAGAACTTAAACTTCCAAGAATTTTAAGCACCCCATCAAGTGTAAATACTTTTCAGTTAAGTGGGTTTATTTTATGCAGTTTAGAATTTCAAGTGAGGTAAATTTAAAGAGGAGTTGCAAAAGAAAATTTTTAAACATAGCCTATTTTGGTCACCACAACGCTCACTCAGTTCTGTTTTCCCTTTTTAGATATACTCTAGCAATGGGATCAGGCTTTTTTTTTTTTTAACTATGAGAAAGTAATTTTTAGTATCTAGTCTTTTCAATGTACATTTATCTGTTAATCAGCCAGAATTTTATTTCCATAATACCATTCCATTATCCTTCAAAGATGTACACTGAAGTGCCTTGAGCATTCCTGGGGCCATCAAGAATCTTCAGAGCTGGCTGATTGTGAGATGGCATATTTCTTAAAGACATTTAGAATCTCACACTCAAGTGGTATCTGAATTTACAAGGCAAAGGATTAAATTGAGGCACTTTCAGGTAGTATTCAAGAAAAAGCTACTTCAAATTTTAATATGTTCTGGTTAGATTATTTTGTATTTGAATTAAAATAGTTACACAATGTTGTAAAGTAAAATAAATTAATTAAAAAAAAGTTATGCAGTTTTGTGTAACCAAAATGGCAATTTTGATTTTTTTTTAGACAAAATACAATCATCGAGGCCAAAGAAATGTATGACTACTCTAATTTCTTAAGCAGGCTCTGTCAAGAATTAACTCAGCTAATTGCAGTTGATTCTAGATGCAGAGCCTACATCTAGACAAAGCTCTAACATGTGTAGGCAGAACCTAACAACATTCTTTCGAATCCCTTTGATGTCTTAAGCCAATAAGCACTGAAGTAGCTTTTCTCAGAAGAAAGCAGATTTTATTTTCCAGGGGCTAATTAATATGCACCACCTCAGTCCCAAAAGGATCACACAGGTGCCTGTACCATGCCATATGTCATGTGCTATATTCCAGCAAGCTCAAGAGATTAATATACAATCATTATTATGAATTATTATGTTGTATCAAAGTTAATGTTGGTCTTTTGTTCTAATTAAAGTACAAACTTGGCATTGGAACAGAAGCTTAGCTACAGAAATGAAGTTAGAGTCTCTATTTTAATGAACTACATCTTTTTTTCAATCAAAATGTGTAATTATTTAATTATCTGGCCTGCTCAGTAAGTTTAGCTCTCTAATTTGTTCAAAGACTACTTATTCAACATAATAATAACACAGATGGACACTCCTTGGAGTGTTTTATCTTTTGAAATTGTTAGCCATTGTTAAATCATGCTTTCAGTATATGTGATAGTATCTTATTAATGTTGACTTGTCTACCTTTATATCAAGCTGCTGCAAGTGACCACCTTATTCTGAAAGTCAGAGAAAATGCTATTTCTCTATAAAGACAAATTTGTCATATCCGCTTAATAAGAAAC